AGACTTTTCTTAAAAATCTCCTAATGATTATGAAAGAGGTGAATATAAGGAAGAAGGTAGACTTTGAGAGTAGAGAATATAGGAGAAAGACCATTCAGTAACTCTTGGTGGGGGCCATAGTGGAATTGGATATTGTACAGAAAAGAGGAGGCACTAAAACTTCCACTGTTCTGTGGATGTTTCGTGGGTTGAAATTCTGAAGCAAATGATATGGACAGGAGACAGAGAAAACAGGGAAATACTGGGTAGAAGAGGGCAGGGTCCCTGGCAAGGGCTCCACCCTAAAGCCTGGATCCGGAGCCCAAAGTGAGAACTATCCCTGTTTTCCCCACTGAATGTTGCTTTTTGGCCCACCCTGCCCCCTATCTTGTGCCCATAAAAACTCCAAACTCCAGACTCAGCAGACACACACACACACACACACACACACACACACACACACACACACACGAGAGATGCTTCTGGACATTGAGAGGAGAAGCAGCAGCTGGATGTTGGAGACGGGTCACAGAGGAGTTTGGCCCGGAATAGCCAGACTCCAGGGGAAGATTACCTTCCTGCTCCATTCCCTTTCTAGCTCTACCTTTTGCTGAGAGCCACTTCCACCACTAAAAGTCCTCCACATTCACCACCCTTCGATTTGTTCATGTGACCTAATTCTTCCTGGACACTGGACAAGAACTTGAGTACCAAGAGGGATATTGTGCACCCAAGAGGGCAGGGTGTAAAAGGCTGTCACCCTGACCCTCCACTGAGCTGGTTAATACTTAACTGTCCATAGATGGCAAATGTTAAAAAAGCACTGATTTTAACACACACCCTCTGGGGCTCCGTGGGTCGCAGACAACCCCTCCAGGACAGCAAAGCTAAAAGAGAATTGTAACACACCCCTCCAGGACAGCAAAGCTAAAAGAGCATTGTAACACACCCCTCCAGGACAGTAAAGCTAACAGAGCATTGTAGCACACTTGGATGCTGCTGTGGGGCCCACACAGAACCTGCTCCCATCAGAGAGGAGCGAACAGCCAGTTCAAGCGTTCATTGGCTCTGGTTCCTGCACCCATCAGCTAGTGTGGTCCCTCCCATAAGGGATTGAGTGTGGCAGTCGAATAAATGAGCTACCCCTTTCATGAGTCCCGCAAGGGGGTCAAAAGAACTCTCCCATCTCACAAATACCACTTTTTATAATATATACAGCTTTGTGGACTTTGTGGCAGCACATAGCTGGCAAATGGTAAGGGTGTTATTACTGATTAACTTTACCAGCTCTCCTTTTCACCAGTGAAGAAGAAGACAATAGTATGGGGATAGTAAATACAAAGTGCTATACAAATGCAAGTGATTAATACTAATCAGTTAGTGAAAACTGTTCAGATGCAATTATCTATCCACGGGGAATAATTCTAGAGTGCAATGTTGTCCCCATCCTGATATTCACTCAGTCACCTGGTTTTGTCAATTCTACCTCCTAAGCGTCACTCATATTCAACCAAATAGAACTTCAGCTTCTCACAAAGCTACAGTAACAGGGAGTAGTCACCCTTATCACTAAGACAACTACAAACTCAACAAAATATAAATAATAGTTTTTAGACATTGGTCTGTGATCCCCCAAAGAGAGAAAACAAATAAAGTGAGCCATATCAGGGTCCCAGATTACTGCCCGGAGAAAACTTCCAGACCACAGTGTAGGACAGGAGAACCTGGGCAGAACCCAGTGATCATCTGAATTGAAGGAACAGCTGGGAGCCTGGGGAGATCAAGGCAGTTAGAGTTCACAGGGCAGAGTGCCACAGAATAGCCAGTTGCTCAGTGAAAGAGAGAGGAGAGAGAGGGAGGGAGGGAGGAAGGGAGAGAGAGGTAGAGAGAGAGAGAGAGAGAAGAACTTTGAATATCTGCAGTAGGTTCCGCTTAAGTTTTCAGCAGAATACTAATCAGCACATAAGTGTGAGAAAATGACACAAGGCCAAGAAAAAGACTACTTGAAATAAGCAGAAGAAATAATTTCCAGATCTTAAACTTCAAATAATGTACAAACTGTCCAGAGTACAAAACTTTGTAACTCACAAGGTAATGGATAAAGTGCTCAGAAAGTTATTGATTCAGTAACGGGATGGAATTAGCTCTAGAATGAAGGTTGTTATGTTACTGCATAATAAAGCTTAAAAGAAAGCCTTGAAAGATCAAACGATTTCCAGGAAACTTAACTGTGATCCAGAACAAATCCCAAGAATCCTTATAAAAAATATCAAGCACAGTACAAAATAAAATTCACTACGTATGAAATCCAATAAAAAATTACAAGGTTTGGAAAGAAGCAGAAAAATGCAATTCATTATAAGGAGAAAAACACATAGAGATCTCAAAATGAAACAGATGATAGAATTAATAGACAAGAACAATAAACAAAATAGTTATAATTGGCTGGGCACAGTGACTCATGCCTGTAATCCCAGCACTCTGGGACACTGAGGTGGGCAGATCACCTGAGGTCCAGAGTTCGAGATCAGCTGGGCCAACATGGTGAAACCCTATATCTACTAAATATACAAAAATTAGCCGGAAGTGGTGGCAGGTGCCTGTAATCCCAGCCACTTGGGAGGCTGAGGCAGGAGAATTGCTTGAACCTGGGAGTTGGAGGTTGCAGTTAAGTGAGATGGTGCCATTGCACTCCAGCCTGGGTGACAAAAGCAAAACTCCATCTCAAAAAAAACCAAAAAAAAAAAAAAAAAGAAAAACAGTTATAAGTATAATTCCATGTATTCAACAAGGTAAAAGCTTAAGCTTATTAAGTAGAGACATGAGGGACGGAAAGTAGACTCAAATTGAACATGTAAACATAAGAAATACAATATCTGAGAATAAAGTATACTAGATAGACTTAATAGCAGGTTAGATATTACAGCAGAAATATTAGTAAACTTGAAGATACAAAATAAAAATGATCTATAATGAAAAACAGAAAAAAGACTGGAAAAAAGTGAACAGAGCACAGATGAGCTGTGGGACAATTTCAAATGGCCTGTATGTGTGTATGGAAGAGACGGAGGGGAGATAAAAGTTATTTGGAAAAACATAAAAAATTTTCCAAATTGATGTAAGCTCTAAGAAACTCAACAAGCTCCAGGTACAAGAGACAAGAAAATGTACCAAGGTATATCATTAACAAGTTGCTTAAAAGCAATAAAGAAGAAAACATTTTAAAAGTAGTCTGAGGAAGCAGACATATTACGTACAGAAAAAGAAAATGGTAACAACAACATCACATTTATCAGAAACAATGAAAGCCAGAAGAAAATGGAGCATCTTTAAAGTATGAAAAACAAACAAACAAACTTAGAATTCTACAACCGGTGACGATATCTTCCAAAAAAGAAGGCAAGAAAACATTTTTGGGCATATAAAAGCTGAAAGCATTCTTTATCAGCAGCACTGCACTACAGAAAACACTCATGGAAATCTTTCAGGTAGAAAAAAAAAACTCTACCAAAGGAAAATAGGGATCTATGCAAAGAAGTGAAGAACAACAGAAATGGTAACTACGTGAGTGCATATATAATTTTTTCTAATTGAAAATCTCTTTGAGAGATAATCCACTAGTTAAAGCGACAATAATGTATTGTGGGGTTTGTAACAATTAGAGGTAATATGAAAGACAATCACAGCACAAAGGCTAGGAAAGGAGGAAACAGAATCATACCCTTATAAAACTCTTACACTGAAAATTAGCCAAATTAACTTGCAACAATTTGAGAACTTTTTTTTTCAAGAAAAGCAGCTGACTCAACCTTTCAGAATTCTAGAAATTAGTCAATTAGCTCACGACAATTTGAAAACTATTTTTGTTTTCCAAAAAAGCAGCTGAATCTCAGTAAGAATAATGACATTTTTGGCATTTTAACTTGCCTTATTCCCATCCTCCTCTCCTCAGCTCTGTCGTAGGCTTGAAAGGCAGCAACCTAAAGCCACTGAAAGGGAAAGATTGGGTCTGAAGCTCCTAAACATGGATATTCCCAGAGAATTTGTCACTCTTTGACTTCTCTGGAAGCCCCCTGGAAAAGACACTCACTGGGCTTGTCATTATTTAACCCACTTAGGGCTCTCTCAGTGGGGAAAACTGGATCCCTAGGGCATCTGTTGAAAACAATCAGTGACATTTATGTAACATTGCAGCTGCCTGAGGCTGCAGTACTAGTTGGTGCAAACAAGAGGCTGGTCAAAACACTGAAAAGGAAGGTCTGGGGAATTCAATGTCCATGGGTGGGTTAGGGGTGGGGTGGATTTTGTAAAGGTGCATTCCTTAGGATTTAGAAGGCCATGCACATGTGCAGGACTATGTGAATGCCCAATAAAGAACCAAAAAGGTCCAGCATCTCTCTACTCTGATGCTGAGGCTGTGTGCAAGCAGAAAGTGAAGGACAAGGGAAATTGCTGGAATGCTGAAGGTGTGCTCCAACAAACACACGGAATTCCTTGGCAAAGAGCTTAAGATTTATTGGCTTAAAGTATTTAAGACAATATCTTTCTCAGTGTTAGCTGACCACTAAGCGAACCAGGAAAAGACTTCAGCATCTGTACATTGTGAGGAATACAGACCTAAAGGCTTGGTACACACACACACACACAAAAGCCTCTAAACACACAAGTAGTAACAACAACGACAGCAACAATAAAATCCAGAAATAACACAAAATGACAACAAGAGACAATCCTGGAGGGTGGTGGTCTCGTTTCTAGAGTTGCCACATTATATTACTTAAAATGTCCAGTTTATGACAAAAATTATAAGATATGCAAAGAAACATGAACTATGGCTCTTAAACAGGAAAAAAAAAAGGCAGTCAACAGAAGATGTCTTCAAAGAGGCTCAGATGTTGGACCTAAAGAATAAAGACTTTAAATCAGCTATTATGTTCAAAGAACTAAAGGAAATTATGCTTAAGTAATTAAAGAAAATTATGAGATCAATATCTTACCTAATAGAGTATATCAATAAAGGGATAGAAATAATAAAAAATAATTTGGAATTTTGGAGTTGAAAAGTACAATAACTCATAAAAAACATTCACTACAGAAGTTTAACAGCAGATTTGAGTTGGCAGAAGCAAGAATCAGCAAACTTGAAGACAGCTCAATTGAGATTATGCTGTCTAACCAGCAGAAAGAAAAACGTAATGAAAAAATTGATTTGAAGTTTAGTTCAAGGTAAGTCGAATTACTATGCTCTATTCCACTCTGGAGCGCCCCCAAAGCGAGGCTCCTTCCTCGTTAGTGAAGCACAAACACATTAACTGTGTATGTGTAACCATCTCTTTCTTGGGACTCATGGTATTTAGTCTACAACTCAGTAAGCAATAGGCTTTATTCCTGGAAAGAAGAAAAACAAGTCCCCAAAAAGTAAATAAAGCATTTCATTTGATCTTTTCCTAGAGGATCCAAAATTAAAATGCAAATTCCTGCCTCGGGAAGGAGGAGGTAGCTGTATCATTTGCTTTCAATACTAAGACTTTTAAGACCACAAGCAGGGAGGGAAAGATTAAAATAAAACCTGAACAGTCTTTTATCTGTCTGTGCATTTCTACCTTAGAGAAGCCAGCAGAGCCTGGTTGAGTATTTTGAAAACCTGATGATTATTATCCCTTGCATGTGGTAGAAACTCACTGTTCACCCAAACACACCAAGCTTTTTCTCACAGTACATTTTTGTTTAATGGAAGTTCAGCCTTATATTTATCACATTTCCGCTACCCCCAGCCCCAGCACTTCTAAACATGAAGCCCGAAGTTGCTATTCTAGTGAATGCCTCGCCTTTTTAAAAAGATGCTACTTTGTGAGTCATCAGCCTCTGACAGACCATTCTAGGGTCTTGGGGGTTAGAATTTAATGCTAGTCTGAGAATCAGAGCACCTTGATTCAATCCTGCCTTGTTGGTCATGAGCAGGATGTGTGGGGGCTAAGAGGATGGACACAGGAGAGTGTATTCCTGGTTCTGCCTTTTATTGATCTGTTACCTCAGACATGGCACTTAACCTGATGTCACTGTGCCTGGGTTTCCTCATCTCTAAAATGGGGGGTGACAATAGTCTGTATCTCACAGGGTGAGGCAGGAAGGAGTTCTGAGACATAAGGCATTTGAGGCAGAAATGCCTGGCAGAAAATAGGAGGAGCAAACACCCAGGGTCTATTACCTGACTCTTTACTTTTTATTTTTTTGTGGAGATTGGGTTTCGCCATGTTGCCCAGGCTAGTTTTGAACGCCTGGGCTCAAGTGGTCCTGTCTTCCTGCCTCAGCCTCCCAGAGTGCTGGGATCATAGGCATGAGCCACTGAACCTGGCCTAATACCTGACTCTTTTTGGGTCTCTTTTCTACGTCAAGTCTCCTGGCTGCCCCCACCTCCCAACCTCCCTAGTAGACAGGGACACTTCTTTTGGGCTTTTCTTGAATTGGGATCACACTGGTTGGCATTTATTTATATATTTCCTTCTCTTGAAAGAATATGACTTTAGATGCTGACCATATATTCCTTGAATAGCTGGATGAATTAATATGTGATAAAAGAGTTGAAATGGATAATTCCCTGGGAGTTCTGCAGAACCACCGTGGGATGAGTCAAATGGCTGAGATTGTGCTCTAGTCCATTTGTTTCAGATACTTGTAGATGTGGCTGCAATGTAAGGAAAAAAGAAAGCATTTTGTGTAAGGTCCATTCTGTAACAGTGTCCTGGAGCTGGAGCTTTTCAAACATTTTTTAAACTATAGGACACTTTCTTCAAGGGAAATCTGGTGAGGAATCATACCCTTACAGATAAAAGCCAGGAGGCCCTCTCTGAAATAGCCTGGGAGGCAGAAGCCCGTAGCTTGACCCTCATTCTCCTGGTGAGATTTCACTGAGCAGGTCTCTGTGAAATACTATTTACAAATCAATGGTTTGAGCAGGGATTTTTATCACCATGCTTAGTTGAGCTCAGGGATTCTTGGAAAGGGCATCTCAGTAGCACTGAGAGGGGTGAGAAAACAGGAGGCCAGCGGTTGGCAGCAGGTCTAGATCTCCCCTTCACCAACCACCTCAGCTGTGGGTCAATTCTGCCTCTGCTGTGACCTGCTGATCGTCCATAAGGATGTAACTTGAAGAAAGGAGTCAACAGCTTAAAGACATTTGAAAACCACCAACCTGGAGAGATGAAACAATCACTTGGAAATTGTCATTGGAAAATTCACTCGAGTACTTATAAACTAGGTATGTTTTTTTCCCACAGGATACTTTGCATTGAGAAGTGATTCCTTCAGGAGAAATTTGTGGTATAATTGGAAGCTGAGGTCTTAGAAAGAGCGTTGGAATGTCTAGCTTCCAGTCCTAGCTTTGGTATGGATTATATTTGCTGAAATCTCCTGTTTGTGGTATATATATATCCTTGAACTTTCCCAGTGGCAGTGTGAAGCCCAAGTAAATGAAATACTGGATGGGAAAGGACTTTGTGTTTGTTCAGGTCTTGGAGCAGCAGCCACCTAGATAGATTCAACTTATAAGAGATGGGGGAAATGCCTACAAGGGGAAAAAGGGAAAGAGTTGAAGCAGGGATGGAGAACCCTGAGCCTGAGATTCAAGTCTGACCCCTGTGAAAAAGAGGAGCAGGAAAAGTCTTGGCCTGCAGCTCAGTCCTAGGAAGGTTTTGGCCAGCCGCTGGGGAGCCCTGCAGTCAGCTGCTCATCAGAGGGGCCTTGTGTCTTATTCCTCCCGCTACATGCAGTCAGGGGCTGGGGACAGCCAGTGGGAAGTGCAGCCTGACTGTGGGTGCACAGGGCCATGGCTGAACCTGCCAGTCACATTCCTATAGCAAGAGATGTGAGTGGCACACTTTTATGGCCACCACAGGCTTGCACACTATTTCCTGATAATTTGGCCTAGACAAATTATACTCCAAAGCAATAATTCCTGAAAGTTAGGCTAGACAGTGGTGAAATTAAAAAACAAACTATAAACCAAAACAAACCAAAACATAAAAAGTAGTCATGATGAGTTTTCCATAGAACTAAACTTACTAAAACAACTCTTCTTTATTCTTAGAGTATGTCCATTCTTTACCTTTTAGAGAGACATTAAAATATCCTTTTATTTTTAATGAAATGAAAATGATGCTAGAGAGTAGTGGTATTTTTAATATTCACAACTTGGAAAATTTAAAACTGTGCATTGCTAGGGAGGTCCCAAGACAATCTTGTTGGTTAGGTCAGAAAGACAAGGACTCACAGCTCTAGGATAATTGTAAAGCAAAGAGCACAGTTCAAAGGAAAAAGGTTTATTGTTAACAGTTTTTTTTTCTTCTCAGAAATAAGAGGAAAATATTCAGTATGAGACATTCCTATTCATTACAGCCTGATGCTGTCTAGGGAGTCCAGAACTTCCAGAAGTGTAGAAAATCTGGAGGGGCTGTCTTTAGTTTGTCCCAAAGTTCGCTTGATTCGGGCTTTTGGCTTCTGTACCACCCTCTGGCTCATTCCCTCTGGCCAGTCTCTGTTCCTTACAGAGCCCTACTCTGGCTCTGCAGAGGACAACCAGCGAGTATAGACAAAGACAATCTGAGGGAAAATGGAGAGTCGAGTCCCTTCATACAGATCAAGTTGCTAATTCTCCTTTTGGGAGAAGAGAAAAGGTGGACTTTCTTTGGATTAGGGGCTGGAATGATTCAGACTGACCTCATTTCTCCACTGTGCTTTGCATGCACAGCTATAGACGCTGAAACCACCAGGGAAGGGGCAACGCAGAGCAGCGTGTTTGCCACTGGCACAGAACTTGCCCAGGAGATCTAACGAAAGCGTGATTTTACAAATACGGCATTCTTTTACTATGCCTGAAGCACTGGATCACAGAAAAGTAAAAAAAAAAAAAAAATTATACTTAAGGATATTATTTTATATCTCAGGATAACAAAAAAAGGCAGCAAAACAGCAAGTTTTTCTAAGTATGCAGGGACTCAGCAAGCCCGGGCAAATTTCTGCTTGAGCTGGGGGGAAGAAAATCAAACAGTTTGCTCTTATAAATCCACATATCTGTATTTTAACATGACAGCATTACCGAGAACTAGTAATTAGCTGGAAGTATATGGTCAAAATCAAATAGATTCAAGCCAACCAGCTCCCATAAATTCATTTAGTCAATTTCAGATTTTGTGATAATAAATTGCTTATGCAAAGTTGCTCATAATAAAACAAAATAAAGGATGGCTTGAGGACATCTTGTCAGACTTTAATCATTGTAGATTAATTACGTTTTTCAGAAAGAAAACATTAGTTGCGATGCTTCCAGGTTTGGCAACGCCCGGCTGGTGTGTCAAAAGGAAGATTGGTTTAGGCAGGTAGATGTTTTCAGGTTTCTTGTGGCTGAATGGTTGCCAGGCTCCAGTTCTTAGTAAATAGAAATTCTGATTTGTGAGGCCAACATTGCTCTGCCCGGAGGGAGGCACTGACAGATACCGTCAACAGGTAAGTTTATGCAGAGATGAAGAAAGTCGTTAGGGGAAAACCTCTAAGTGTTTACCTACAAAATTTTACTTGGCACTGCCAAGCTGTTAGTCTTTGAATATTTCTGGGCTGGGCAGAATACCATGCTTTTTGTATGGTATATATACAGTTTGCATACCATGAGTTTTCTCTTTCCTACTAACTTGGTGGGAGGAAGACAGGACATCAGAGATAAATTTAGAAAGCTGCATCTCAAAGGCACATTTAAGTATCCATGACTGATAAGGTGTAAACTGACCACAGATTAACAGTATGTAAACAAGTAAATTGTTACGTATCATGATTTGAATATGTGCTGTTTTTTACTATTTCTAAAAAAAAATATATATATATATATATGTGAAGCTTCGCCTGCTTCATATATGTATATATATATGAAGAGATTATGAGCAATTTAAAGAAAGCACTCCTATATAAAGCACCTAGCTTACATGTGGAACTTTTTGCCCAGAGAATTAGGAAGGGAAGAGAGTATAAACAAACTAGAGTAAGGTTTACATTCATGTTATGACTAACAAAAGTCTCTGAACATTCAGATTCATCTCTAACTTCTTAAGGGGTCCAAAAACATCAGAACATGGAGGAGAAGATGGGAAGAAAGGTGAGGCTGTGCAGGGTGAAGGAGAAACACACAACAGTATGGCATTTCCCCAAACACGTCTTTCTGTGTCCAGACAGAAGCACAAATACAAGACTGAGAAGACCACTGATTTCACGGAACCTCAGTGATTATTATCCTTACAGAGTTGGCAAGTGCAAGCACTTCCTTTAACCCAGGGATTCTGAACTCTTGGACTGCGGGTTGAATGCAGAAGATGATAGAGGACAGTGTGGCCTATGAACTTAAATGGGAAAAATTTACAAGTTTTTTTCACAACTTCTCATTGAAATTTAACTTTTTCTTACATTATGAAGGTAGGCAACAAACCACAGTAGAATTAGCAATATTTCAGCAATAGAAATAAAAAAATCCATATCTTATTTCAGTACTTGCAAGCATTTTGAACTGTCATTTATACTCATCATTCTCCAAAATCACAGTAGGTAATAGGTCTGTCAGTAGATCATGTATTTGATGCATTAATGATAACACACATATTAGTATGTGGCAAGTTTGATATTTTACTATTTTGAGAGCTGTGTTTCAATACACTTCCTGTTTGATCTCAATATTTTGATAACTGTATTTCAATAGGATATATTTCCTCTATAATCTTACATCTTTTATGTAGCTATGCTTCACCAGTCTGCCAAAGGCTTCCATGATACAAACCAATTAAAAACTCCTGCCTGTGGGGAAATCATGAGGATTGATTTACCTCTATATTGGTCATTAACTCATTTTGAAAGAACTTGATTCTTTTTGAATGGTTTTAGATTTACGGAAGAATTGCCAAGGTCCAGAGAATTTCCACACACCCAGAATCCAGTTACATCTATAAATAACATCTGATATTAGTATGGTATATTTGTTAAAATTAATGAACAAATCATGACACATTATTGTTAACTAAAGTCCATACTTGATTTAGCTTCTGTTAGCTTTTGTCTAATGTCTTTCTTCTATTCCGGATCTCATCCAGGATGCCACATTACCTTCAGCCATCATGTCTCCTCAGACACCTCCTGGCTATGAATCAACTTATTTTTGACCTAAGTTATTTAATATTTTGATTCTCATTTTCCAATTCTAATTTCCATCTACGCTATGCCAGCAAATAGACATATCTCAGATCTTTTCAAGTTAACACCTCCACCGTTTTCAGTAGAGGAGTTTTATTTAGTTGATGGTCTTCTGTACCAGGTCCAGGTAAGTGGTAGGTCGATCTGTTTCAAACATGCTCTGCCCTCCTGTAGGTGGTAGAGACACACACCTGTTATAACTTCATGTTGTTACTGACCCTTACAGTCATTCCTTGATTTGGAGCAACTTTCCATGTTAAATGCCTTGACATATATATAAACAGTAGCTAATAGGTGAAAATACTGCAAGAAAGAAACTTTTATGATAAGAATCACTCAACTTAATTCTACAATGCCTAAAGCTTACATTGGGCAGTCAGCAATGGTTGCCACCATCAGCTTGTAAATATCCTTTGAAGTAAATTCTATTTGATAGATTCAACAGACAATATGCTAAGAATTGTGCTATATCATTGTATTCAGATGTCAGGGCCAATTTAGAGAGAAGTTGCCACTCATCAGAGCCACTCCTCTTTCTCCCTCTCTCTCTCAAAAAAAATGACTTATCTTCAACATTTTATATTTATCTGATCTTTGGTTCAGCACAGTTATGGAAATACCATTTATGATTGTGAATTGCTGTGAATGTGAAGATTATCTGAAAAGAAAGAGTTGCTTATTGAGGCTTTCTATCAATCATATATTAATCTATCATCCATCCATCCATCCATCCATCCATCCATCCATTCATCCATCCATTCATCTATCTATCCATGCATCATGAGGATATGATAATTTCACCTTTGTAAAGCACCTAAGATGAGTAAAGACAGGGAGTAAGCTAACAGTGTTACGAAGGTGAAGCCTAAGTTGAGGGATAAGATACCAACTGAAGGAGAATTTATCTGTAATAGTAAATGGGCCAGGCATTTGCTTATTTTCTCTCAAATCCATTCCTAACCCTTCTCTGGCCTTGCTTAGCATCACAGAGAACTACATTTCCCAGGATCCCTTGTAAATTGACTTTCTCCTAAGATCAGTCAATGGGAGCTCTGGTGGGAGCTTAGAGGAAGGGAGGTAAGAAGAAATCATGATATATCAATCTTCTTACCTCTGTCTCTACACACACACACACACACACACACACACACACACACACACACACCCCTCTTTGCCACAAGCAGCAAAGCAGCATCTCTGACAGGAGCTTCATCTCTTCTATGACTCTCGCTTCTGCTAGGTATACTGACCCATCATGGTCCCAGCTCCTGCAGAGCAGACCCTCTCCTGCAGGTAAAAACTTTGCCGGGCAGCCTTGTCTGCTGGGGTCCAGTAATACTGCCTCATCCCCCACCTCTTTTTTTTAACCTCTGGTTAAAAAAAAAGTTGAAATAGACTTTCTTGCTGTTGCTAATCATCTCTGGGTTGGTTGCCTCATCTCTGTTTAGCTTCTCAGCTCTTTCATTGCCTGTGTAACCCAACCTCTATCTAAATTCCATGTTTAAAATATCTAGAGCAGTATACTAAGTATAAACCATTTATTACGGCAGATGGTCCTGGGCATACAGGATAGGACTCCCAAAATGGGAGAGGTGCCCAACAGCTGGGAGCTATAGTCCAGGTTTCTGGCTGTCACTGTCATACATCATGATTGTAACCACTAAAGTGGATAAAAGAGTCAAGTCAGCTGCCCTGAAATGGAGCAGTTCCTCAGAAAACTTTCAGCTCTGTTTGGAGTTCCATAAGTATCTCAGCTGCCTGATTCTCCCTTGCCAATGAGCCCACAGCTGGCCGGCCCTATACAACTGTTTGAGAAGATGTCTTTTCCAAGTGCAAGCCAGCCAGCACCAGTCTAGCTTCACATACCTTTTTCCTTTTCTCCTCCATCTACTTTCTGTTCTCAAAGCCTAGAGTAGTGGGAGGAAGAAGTAATAAAGCAGCTGAAATAAGCTCAAAGTCTCTGCTTTTGTATCATCTGGCCTTAAGACAAAGAGAACCTTGACTAGGAGATTAGACTCTTAGTCAAATCTAAATGAATGTGTATCCATTCCCTTTGGTATCCAGAAAAAGCATTGTTTGTTGAAGCCAATGCTAAGTGATGTTTACTCGAAAGTCCACAGGAGAGGAACAAGCAATGATTCCTCCTGTAAGTCATATGGGCATGGATTTACATTAGCTGCATGCCAGAGATGGGGAGGCAGGTACCCACAGGTACACCAAACAGCTTTAGTGGGGAATTGAATGCAAAATTTATACTCATTATACTAAACGATTTGCCTTATTTGTATAGCAATTGAGTCCCTCTCTCCCTTTTGCTCTTCATTCCCAGGCTCCCACTGCCTGGTCTGAGTGTTGAAGGGGTTTGGGGGTAGGCAGGCATAGAGGGAGCAGATGGCAGGAAAGATGAAAGGATTGTAATTAAAAAAAAAAATCTACTTTAGGAAGGACACAACAGAGCTTATTTCTTCCCAAATCTAGGTCATTGTTTTCACTTCCCTCTTATAGTACATTCCATTCCTTTTCCTTCCCTGCCCACCTTGCATGCATTTTCTGATGCTTCTAATGACCTCAGGAGTAATGAAGAATCTTCCTGTGCCTCCTTGTTCCTAGTAAACAGCAAACCCATAGAGTTTGCTTCCAGGTCTTTTGGTAGTTGCCAAGATGAGGTATCACATGGTCAGAGCATTTTCCAAGTGAATTGAGAATTGGAGGCAATTCAATTTTTTTTCTGTGAAAAAGTCCATTAACCTCTCAGGGAGAAGGCATAGGAGTACTCCTGCTAATTCACTTTTTGGGGCAAGGTTGATTTCCTAGGTAGTAAGATTTTTAGTATTGGGTCCTTCTTGGATGGTTCACTGGATGCTTGGTGAGGAATTAAAAAAAAAAAAAAAGGACCTGAGGTCTTCTCCCCTGCCTTCGATCTAATTCCTACCCATTCTTTCCCTATAGGTTAGCACTGGGCTTTTCCAGCTCTAAACTCATGAGGGCTTGAACTCAAGCACTTATTAGGCTTTAACTTCTTATGTGTTTTATTTATTCCACTAGTTCTTCCCAAAGCAAGAAAGTGTTCAGTAAGATTGGTGGCCTAGCCTTTAAGGAATGTAGTTTAGGACAAAGATCACATGTGGCAAAGATTGACTTTGTTTAGTAGGCATGAGTTTTTACAAAATTTCTTTGTTTTGTTTCAGTATGATTTGGCTTTTCCTATGAATTTGAGTTCTTTTAGGCAGTATGCATGCTCCAGTTTGACCAGTTTTCTCTCATTCCACCCACTCCCATAATTTCCTACTATCTGATAGTAGTATATACTGCTTTACTAATTTCTGTAACCTGCCTGGCCCCTGCAGTCTTTTGAGTTTTCAATCACTTTGGTCATGTTCCCTTTAGTAATTCTATGTGTTTTAGAGGTTATTGAATAAAATTCTAATTTGTGTATTGCTAATAAATGTCACGTACCCAGAGAAGGTCTTGGTGGCGACCAGGGAAGAGAGAAGGTAAAGCTGGGCTAGCTATTTGATCTATTTTTACTGTGTCTCATCTTCCCAACTAGCATATGAGTGCTTAGGATATATACCATCTATTTGTCATTTTGTATTTATAATTCTTTTACTTCTTTCCCATATAGTAGAGGTTCAATGTAATATGTTTTATAAACTATCCTTGGTATTTTTTAAAGACAAACTTTATTTTTTGGTGCAGTTTTAGGTTAACAGAAAAATCGAGTAGAAGGTAGAGAGATTTTCCGTAACTTCCTTACCATAATTGTGCATAGCTTCTCACACTATCAAAATTCCACACTAGAGTGGTATATTTATTATAATCAATGAACCTGCATTGATACCTCATTATCATCCAGTGTCCATAGTTTACATTAGAGTTCACTTTGGTGTTGTACATTCTATGGCTATTGACAAATGGATAATGATATGTATCCACCATTATGGTATCATGCAAAGTAGTTTCACTACCCTAAAAATCCACTGTACTCTGCTTATTCTTCCTTCTCTCTGCCCTAACTTGAGGCAATCACTGATCCTTTTACTGTCTCCACAGTTTTGCCTTTTCTAGAATGTCATATGGTTGGTATCATGCAGTATGTAGCCTTTTCAGATTGGCATTTAGTTTCCTCCATGTCTTTATGGCTCGTTTCTTTTACTGCTGAATAATATCCCATATCCCAGATGTACTAAAGTTTATTTATTTATTATTTATCCATTCATGTACTGAAGGACATTGTGGTTGTATCTAAGTTGGGACAATTATGAATAAAACACTATACACATTTGTGTGCATGTTTTTGTGTGAACTGAAGTTTTCAACTCATTATGGTAAATACCAAGAAGTGCAATGGCTGGTTTGTAACATAAAAGAATGTTTAGGGTTTTTTTTTGTTTGTTTGTTTGTTTTACTTTTTAAGAAATCAACAAACTGTCTTCTAAATTGGCTATACCATTTTGCATTCCTACCAGCAGTTAATGAGCACCCCTGTTACTCAACACCTTCACTAATTTGTGTTGTCAGTGTTCTGGACAGCCAGAACACAAGTCATTTTAATAGGTGTGTAGTGGTATCTTCTTGTTTTAATTTTTAATTCCCTAATGACATATGACGTTGAACATTTTTTCATATGCTTACCTGGCATCTGTTTGTCTTCTTTGATAAGGTGTCTGTTCAGGCCTTTTGCTCATTTGAAAATCAGGCTCATTTTCTTATTGTTGAGCTTTAACAGTGCTATACTTTTGTTTATTTGACCCTTCCAAATCTCACGTTGAATTGATCCCCCATGTTGAAAGTGGGGCCTAATGAGAGGTGTTTGGATTCAGGAGGATGGATCTCTCATGAATGTCCTGGTGCTGTCCTCGCGGTAATGAGTGAGTTCTTGCTCTATTAGTTGTCATGAGTGCTGGTTGTTAAAAAGACTCTGGCACCTCCCCTCTTCTCTCTTGCTTCCTCTTTCAGCATGTGATCTCTGCCCATGCTGGCTCCCTTTGGTCTTCTGCCATAAGTAAAAGTAGCCTGAGATTCTCCGCAGAAGCAGATGTTGGTGCCATGCTTTGCAGTATGTACAGCCTACAGAAATGCAAGCCAAACAAACATTTTAGTTCATAAATTACTCAGTCTCAAGCATTCCTTTATAGCAATACAAATGAACGAGGACAGTTACTTTGGTGTATTTTGGATACCAGCTCTTTATCAGATGTATCTTTCACAAATATTTTCTCCAGGTCAATGACTTGTTATTCTCTTGACAGTGTCTTTTGCAGAGAAGAACATTTTACTTTTAATAAAGTCTAGCTCTTCAATAATTCCTTTGATCAGTCATGGATTTGGTGTTATATCTAAAAAGTCATCATCACGCTTTAGGTCATCTAGGATTTTTCCTCCTAAAGCTAAACAGTTGTCCAAATGTATGATCTATTTCTAAACTCTCTATTCTCTTTCATTGGTCTAGATCAATTTATCTATTAATATCTTGATGCCAACACTACAAGTGTCTCAATTATTGCAGCTTTATTACATTTATTAATATATCCATCATTTATTAATGAAATATCTATTATTATTATTTTAATTATATTTTATTTTAGATTCAACAGTATTGTGCATGTTTGTTACATGGGAATATTGCATATTGGTGGGGATTGGGTTTCTAGAGTACCCATTACTCAAATAGTGAACACTGTACCCAATGTGTAATTTTTCAACTCTTGTCTCTCACCAACCCTCCCCCATTTTGAAGTCCCCAGTGTCTATTCCCATCTTTATGTCCATGTGTACCCATTGCTGAGCTCCCACTTATAAGTGAGAACATGGAGTACTGATTTTCTGTTTCTGAGTTAGTTCACTTAGAATAATGGCCTTCAGCTCCATCCATGTTGCTGCAAAGGATATGATTTCATTTTTTTTTAACCAATGACATTGGTAATTTGATAGAGATTACGTTGATTCTGTAGATTGCTTTGGGCAGTATGGATATTTTATATGGTACTATGTGGTATTACATGGTGTGTGTGTGTGTATATATATATATATATATATATCACACATTTTCTTTTTCCAGTCGACTGTCGAGGGACACTTCGGTTCGTTCTATGATTTTGCTTTTGTGAATTGTAATTATATATTTTTTAGATTTGGTCACACTAGTGCAAGTCTCTTTGTATAATGATTTTTTTTTTCCTTTGGGTAGATGCCTAGCGGGGGGGAGGGGGTGGCGGTTCCCGGGTCAAATGGTAGTTCTATTTTTAGTCTTTTGAGAACTATTTTTGAGAAATATCCATATTGTTTTCCACGGAGGTTGAATTAATTTACAGCCCTACCAACAGTGTACAAGCGTTCCCTTTTCTCCACATCCATGCCAACATCTGTTGTTTTTTTTGACTCTGGAATAATAGCTATTCTGATTGGTGTAAGATGATATCTCGTTGTGGTTATAATTAGCATTTCTCTGATGATTAGTGATGTTGAACATTTTTGCGTTTGTTGGTTGCCTGGATTTTGTCTCTTAAGAAATGTCTATTCGTGTCCTTTGCCCAGTTTTAATGGGGTTTTTGTTGTTGTTGTTGAGTGTTTTGAGTTCCTTGTAGATTCTGGATACTAGTTCTTTGTCAGAGTCATAATTTGCAAATATTTTCTCCCATTCTGTAGGTCATCTTTTACTCTGCTGATTATTTCTTTTGCTGTGCAGAAGCTTTTGGGTTTAAGTAAGACCCTTTTGTCTATTTTTGTTTTTGTTGCATTTGCTTTTGGGAGCTTCATAATAAATTATTTGTCTAGGCCAATGTCCAGAAGAGTTTTCCTAGATTTTCTTGTAGGATTTTTAATAGTTTCATATCTTACATTTAAGTCTTTAATTCATCTAAGGTTAATTTTTTTATACGGTAAGAGATAGGGACCGAGTTTCATTCTTCTGTGTATGGCTAGCCAATTTTCATAGCACCATTTATTGAATAGGGTGTTCTTTCCCCCATTGCTTATTTTTATTGATGTGGATGAGGTGTGTAGGCATATAGATTTATTTCTGGGGTTCTCTATTCTGATCCATGTCGAATTTTTGGTTCCAGTACCATGCTGTTTTAGTTGCTATGGCCTTGTAGTATAATTTGAAGTCAGGCAATTTGATGTCTCCAGATTGTTCTTTTTGCTTAGAATTGCTTTGGCTATTTGGGCTCTTTTTTGGTTCCATATGAACTTTAGGATTGTTTCTAATTCTGTGAAAAATGATACTGGTAATTTTATAGGAATTGCATTGATTCTGTAGATTGCTTTGGGCAGTATGGATATTTTAACAATATTGATTCTTCCAATCCATGAGCATGGGATGTTTTTCCACTTGTTTGTGTCATCTATGATTTCTTTCAGCAGTGTTTTGTAGTTCTCCTTGTAGAGATCTTTCACCTCCTTGGTTAAATGTATTCCTAGGCATTTTATTTTTTTGTGGCTATTATAAATGGTATTGCATTGATTTCATTCTCAGCTTGAATGTTTTTGGTGTAGAGACATACTACTGATTTTTGTGCATTGATTTTGTATCGAGAAACTCGATTGAAGTCATTTATCAAATTTAGGGTCTTATGGAATAATCTTTAGGGTTTTCTAGGTATATGATCATGTTATCAGTAGACAGAGATAACTTTCTCTTTTCTAACTTGGACGCCTTTTATTTGTTTCTCTTGCCTGATTGTTCTGGCTAGGACTTCCAGTACTATGTTGAATAGGAGTGGTGAGAATGGACACCCTTGTCTTGGTCCAGTTCTTAGGGGGGATGTTTTCAACTTTCCCCCATTCAGTATGATGTTAGTTATGGGCTTGTCATGTATGGCTCTTATTATTTTCAGGTATGTTTATTTGATGCCTAGTTTGTTGAGGGCTTTTATCATGAAGGGATGTTGGATTTTACTGAATGTCTTTTATGTGTATATTGAGATGATCATATGGTTTTTGTTTTTAGTTCTGTTTATGTGGTGAATCATGTCTATTGATTTGTGTATGCTGAAACATCATTTCATCTCTGGAATAAAACCTGCTTAACTGTGATGTATTCTCTCTTTGATGTGCTGTTGGATTCAGTTTGCTAGTATTTTGTTGAGGATAATTTGCATCTGTATTCATTAGGGATATTGGCTTCTAGATTTTTGTTGTTGTTGTTGTGCCCTTGACTGATTTGGGTATTTAAATATTTATTATTAAAATCAGCTAGCATTGGAACTTCAACTGTTTTCAAAGTAGTTTTTGACTACTCTGGATCCTTTGCATTTCTGTATGAATTTTAGAATCAGCTTATCAATTTTACAAAAAGCCTGCTGGTTTTTGATTGAGATTGCTTTGAGTATATAGATTAATTTGAAAAAACTGATAGCTTAACACACCTTAACTGATATGGTAACAATCTTTAGACTAATGAACAAAATATATTTAGGTTTCCTATTTAGGTTTTCAATTCTCATGACAATGTTTTATAGTTTCAGCATACAAATCTTGCCTAATATTGGTTAGGTTTATACCTAAATATTTTGTATGGTTATATTGTTATAAACAGCAACCTTTAAATTTAAACTTCAAATTGTTCATGACTAGTATATAGAAGTACAATTGATATTTATATATTGATTGTGTATCCAGCAATCTCGTTACATTAATTTACTAGTTCTAGTAGGTTTCTGTAGATTACATTGGACTATCTATATAGATAATAATTTTCAGCAAGCAGAGATAATTTTACTTCTACCTTTCAATGTGGATGATTTTTTTTCTCTTATTGCACTCACAATAAATTGCTATCAACTTACAAGGAATTATTAACAATATGTGAATCTATGTATGTGAGGGATATTGCATATGTTGCGTATGTTAAAACATCATTTTCATTTTGTTATAATGAAGTTTCATTGTTATAATATCTTATTTGGTTTTGGTATTATGACAATGCTAGCTTCATAGAATGATTTAGGAAATATTCCCTTTTCTGAATGTTTTTTAAAAGAGTTAGTGTGGAACTGCTATTATTTCTTCCATAAAAGTTTGGTTGAATTCTCTAGTGAAGTCTTTGGGGCTTGGAGTTTTTTTTTTTTGTTTTTTGGAAGGTTTTTAACTACATATTCAATTTCCTTAATAGATGGAGCTACTCAGATTGTCTGTTTTTTCTTACTTAAGCTTTGGTAGTTTGAGCTTTCAGATAATTTGCCTATTTCATCTATGTGTATAATTCATTGACATAAAGTTGTTCATATTCCATTACATTTTTAATGTCTATAGAGTCTGAATATGTGGTGATATAGCCACTCATTATCCGAGTTGGTAATTTGTGACTTCTTTCTTTTATCCTGGTCAGTCTGGCTAAAGTTTTTTATTAATTTTATTGGTCTTCTCATAGAACCAGCTTTTTATTTCATTGATAATCTCTATTGTTTTTCTCTTAATTCATTTCTATTCTAATCTTTATTATTCCTTTCTTCTGTTTAGCTTTAGTAGGTTCCTTTTCTAGTTTTTTAAGGTGAAAACTGAGGTTATTGATTTGGGAGCTTTCTTACATTCTACTATGGACATTTAGTGCTATAAATTCCCTTTCTAAATAGATGCTTTAGCTACATGCTATAGTTGTATTTTTTATTGCTATTGAGTTCAAAATACTATTTAATTTCTCTTTTGATTTCTTTTCTGATTCATGGGTCAAATAATGGTGTTACTAGGTTCTAAATATTAGAGGATTTTCTGGATCTCTTTCTTTTATTTGTATCTAATTTATTTCAATTGTGGTCAGAGAACATACTTTGTATGACTTGAGTCTTTGCCTTTTAATTCACTGTTTTTATTGAAGTTTTGATAATTCAATTTTATCTCTTGTTGGGTCACTAGCTATAACTGATTCATCATATTAGTAGTTGCTTTAGGGTTTATAGCATACATCTTTAAACTACTGCAATCTACCTTCAAGTGGGATTATATCATTTCACATATAACATTCAATAGTACACATTCGTTTCTCTCCTTCTGGCTTAAATGCTATTTTTGTTACACATCTTATTTGTTGTATGTATATATCCCACAATACATTGTTATCATTGTGCTTA